GGCTGCAGGCTCAACTCACTCACCTGGCCCCACCACAGCGGTGCTCTCTGCTCCTTGGACCTCTGCCAGGATGATTTTTAAAAAATGTATTTAGTACAGGGTCTACAGGGCCCCACTACACAGTGATCCGACTCTAGTGATCCTCCTGTTTTCAGCCTCCCAGGCACTTGGATTACAGGTGAGCACCACTACGCCCAGCCTCAATCACTGTCTCATTGTGCCCCAGGGGTGAGGCCGGCATGGCACGCCGGGGATTGAACCCTGGTCCCTGCATCTGCCTAGGCAGGCACTTTAATCTGCTGAGCTATTTGGCCTGTCTTTGCCAGGACGATTTTGCCTCAGAGGCCCAAAGCGGGGGGCTGCTGACCAAGGACGACCAAACCCTTTCCTCCTACAACTGCTTACCTCAGGAATCATCAGGGTGACTGCTGTAGTTGCCAGACAGCAGGGCCGTAGGACCTGGGCACTGAGAGAGGCACAGAGGGGCTGCCTGTCTGCTGGAGCCTGGTCAGGAGTTGGACTCTACCTCCCCCCTCATGTGGGGGAGAGCAGGTGGCGTGGCTGCATCTGCCAGGGTCTGGGGGCTGAGAGCTGTGGGCAGAAGTGGGGAGGGCAAAGGCGTGGGCTGGGAGCCAGCCTGTCCTAGAGCGCAGCAGCGCACGCCTCCCACAGGGGCCTGGGAAACCAGCTTTCCCCCCAGTCGGGTGCGGGCTGGGAGAGACAGGTGCGTGTGGCCATTCTGGGCAGGATCGGGGGCATCTGTGTGCAGATAGGAGAGGAGGGGAGAGAGGCAGGTCATCTCTGGCTGGGGGCGTCATGCTGAGGGAGCACCAGGCTGTGGAAGCGTACACAGTGTACCGCAGAAGTGGAGTGTGGCTCAGAGCTTGAGGTCTGTGGGGTTGGGGTCTCGTGGCCCCATCATCTGTCACCCAGCAACAGCTGTACAAGCCTGAACTGTGAGCAAGGGTGGCCTGGGTCCCTCAGAGTGGGAAGAGGCCAGGCCAGGCAGGGTCACGAGGGTGACTCCACTGCTGCCGATTTCAGGCAGCTGCACTTTGGGTGCAGTGTCCTCGGGCAGCAGAGGCTGCTGGGCGTGGGGTAGGCCCATTTTCTCATCATAATGAGGCAGCGCTGTGGCCATGTAAGGCACATGTATGCCGCTGCCACGAGGCGTGCACGGAGTCACCTGGGCTCTGAGTACCAGGTGAGCCTGATGGAGGCTGCTCTGTAGGCAGCTTCCGGCCTCTCATGCCTCGACATGCAAGTTCTGCTGCAGCGGCTCCATGCGCAGCCCCTGGCTGGGGACATGGTCTGAGACACACACCTGGGAGGTTTATGGTACAAACAGCACAGTGTGCCTGTGCTCCGGAGTTGCCTGCGGTAGCACCCACGTGGGCTCTGCCACAGAGGCTACAGCATGGGCAAGGCCCTGGAGCAGGCGGAGTCACTGCCAGAGACTGGCATGGGAAGCAGCCTCAGGCCACTGAGGAGTCCGCGCTTGCTCAGTGGGATGACAACTGGTAGGATCTCTCCTGAGCCTGCTGAGCCGAGAGGCGCTGCTGCTCCTGTGTGGATGTTTTAATTATGCAGGAGGCAGAGAGTAGTCTCCGCTAGTATCCATGTGTGTTCTTCCCGTGAGTCTCTTGTGTTGGCCTTTTGCCCACTTTCTGTTGCTTGGTTTGGTTTTGAAAAAATAGAGCTATGAAGGGTCAGTGGCTATTAAACAAGTGCTACCGATACGAAGCACTTTGCCGGCCTGAACTTTTAACCTCGAGTTTTTGAGGAATTTGAAAAGCAACGAATAATAGCTTCATCCAGTCATAACCTGGGTCCACAAGTGTAAAACCTTCATGTGTCACCTGAGAGAGTCCTCTTGGCTGGCTGCCCAGAAAGGCCTTGTCCCCATTACATGGATAAGGAAAGTAGTCAAGGAGATAAAAGTAACTGTATAATGGGGAAAATCTGAACAATGCCGAAGTGGGCGCATAACGATGAGTGGGCAGTGGGCATGACCCAGCCTGTAATCCCAGCTACCTGGCAGGCTGAGGCACGAGGGTGGTGAGGTGGTAGTCAGCCAGGGCGGTGCAGGGAGCTCTGGGGCACAAAGAAAGATTTAAAAGGGCCAGAGGAGTAGGATGCTCGGGTTTACTCTTTAGCATTGCAGCAGAAGGGGGTCCACCCAGTATGCTCCTCTAGGATGTGTGCCTCTTTTGTTACCTTTGAGCTATTTTTTTAGCTTCAGACAAAAGAAAACTGTTAACAATACAAGTGATTCCTCTCTCTCTCTCTCTCTCTCTCTCTCTCTCTCTCTCTCTGTCTTGTATTTTAGGGAAGGATCTACATGGTGTTCAGGGTCTCACTACTAGATCGACTTGTAGTGATCCGCCTCTTTACAGCCTCCCAAGAGCTGGGATTACAGGTGCACACCATCTTGCCCAGTCTTAATTGCCATCTCAGCATGCCCTGGGGGGCGGGGTCAGAAAGGCAGACCTGGGGATTGAACCCCTGGCCGCTGTGCCTACTTGCAGGTGCTTTAATCCACTGAGCTGTTTGGCTGGCCCTTGCAAGTGATTCTTTAAAAATTTTTTTTTTTTAAATGTGTTTGGTACAGGGTCTTACTATATACTTTGGACTCATAGTGATCCTCCTGTTTTCAGCCTTGCCAGTGCTGGGATTATAGGCTTGCACCACCAAGTCTGGACTCGGTGGCCGGCTCAGCGTGCTCGGGAGAGAGGCTGGCGCGTGTGGTGGTGGAGATCAAACCCCCGTCCCTGTGCTGGCCTAAGCAGGTGCTTAGTCTGCTGAGCTATCTTGCCGGTCACTGTGATTTTTGTCAGCGCTAACACAAACGCCTGTGGAGAGCACACTGCCTCCCTGCTGATGTCGGCATCCATACATGTGCTCATGTGCACCTCTTCTTTGAAAACGGGTCTTCTTTTGGCCCGGTTACCACCTCTTAGTGGATCCCTCAGCTGTCCCTGACTTCAGTAGAATTTCTGCCCCTGTTCACTTCATGGCTACCCTAGTCCAGTTTGTGCTGCAGTATCAGAATGCCACAAAAGGTGCCCTGTACAAGCAGAATTTATTGGCTCATGGTTCTGGAGTCTGAGACCCTCAGTTGGAGGGCCAGCATCTGGAGAGGGGAGAGAGACCAGGGAAGGCACCCACTTGCGCCACAAGGCATTGGCCTGTCACAGAGACGCTCCTACGACCCATGACTCCCAAAGGTCCAGCTCTGATGCCGCTTCCATGGTGATACATCCCCAACACCCACTATTGGGCCTTTTGGAGCTGAAGCAATATTTGCGGATTTTATCTTTTTTTGTTCCTTTTTTTTTTTTTTTTTTTTTTTTTTTTTTTTTGCGGAACTGGGGATTGAACTCAGACCCTTGCACTTGCCAGGCAAGCGCTTATTCTACTGAGCCATCTCCCCGGCCCGGATTTTATCTTTTTAAAGAGTTCTGCTTGGACTTCCCCCAGGCCTGTGTCCTTACAGCTGGAGCCAGCCTGTCGCACCCAGCACAGGTCTGTCCCACAGGCTTCTCTGTGGCTATTGATTTCAAGTCTCAGAGCCCTTTGCAAAAACTCATAAAAGCAACAAGCCCCACTTTTCTGTGAAAACAAGCACACAACACGCAGGATTCTGCACTCTTCTGAGAGTTCCTTGGCCTCCCAGAAGCTGGGTTAAGAACTCCAGGAGGGAGCTTGGGTTCCCGGGATGCTTCAGAAAGGCAAAAAAGGATACAAGGGGCCTTGGGGAGTCACCTTCCTCGTGGTGTGTGCTGAGTAGTCACTGTGTGCCTGAGAGCATCAGCTATTCAGTGGCCACAGCTCCCAGAGGCTTGAGACCAGGGAGGAAGCAGGTGGAGAGGGAAGGCCGCCTGCCCTTGGCCACACAGCTGGGAATGTCTCTAAAGCAGTCCTACACTCCATGAACATAAAGGAACAAAAGAATGCTTGAGGGAAAGCCAGAAGGGAGAAGCAGGGCCCCTTAGGGTGAACGTTCGTCTCCAAGGTGACTTGGAGACATCTGGTCACACTGTGAGCTGGCTGGGCCTGATGACAGAGCTGTGTTGTTACTGCTACACGTAGACCCAGAAGCCTGAGGACTCAAGAGTAAGGCTTCTGGGAAGTTGGAGGGAGCATAGGCTAGCACCTGGCTCCCTGCTCCTGCGCCCAGGGCTCTGGACTGGTGGTGCATTCCTCAAGCTCGCTGACTGCTGGCTGCCGGCTGCCCAGTTTGGGGAGGAGCCCCATCCCCACAGCAGGGCAGGCTTCTCAGCAAATGCTGTTCCTATAGGCACAGGAATAAGGGCCTCGCTCCACAGAGGCACAGCAGAGGGGGCAAGGCAGTTACAGGTCCATCTTACAGACAGGGAAACTGAGGCTTAGGTGGGAGAGCAGTCCCCCCAGGGTCTCGCTGTGGGGACATGAAGAACTGACAGGAATCTCAGGCTTTCCAGGACTAGGGAGGTGGCTTCTGGCTACCCCTGTCTGTGGAAGGTGGTGGCTCTGAGAAAGCTTCCTGTCTTCATCAACCCCAGCTGCAAGGACACCTTCCCAGTCCGGTGGGACAACCACACACCGAGAGGTCTGCTTCTGTCCCGTTCTGTAAGGCCTGCCTTGAAGTGTGAAGGCAGAGTCAGCCTCCAGCCCAGGGCACTGCTGGCACTGCACCCTGGCCACCACAGACATGCTGCTTCTGTCCCGCTGTTCTGCTGAGGGCTCCGTGGCATCCAGGGAGTTCATCACAGTGAGTGCTGAGAGGATGTATGAGCTCCTGCCTGTCCTGACCCAGGGAGAAAAGGGTCCCTGAGGCCCCTGCATGGCTGCTTAGAGCTCAGCCGAAGCCAGAGGGGGCAAGGGCTGGCGGGGGTGCACAGCTAGCCGGAGATGCCAGCCACAGCTGTCTGGAGCCCGCTGCTGAGGTGTATGTAGGGCCTGGGCCATGAGGCTGATTTTCTCAAGGTCTGGGCACCGCTGCCACCTCCAGTCCGTGCCTAAGTTGAAGTGGCACAGGCACTGTCCCACCTGGGAGGCACAGGTGGCAGAACACAGAGGTCGGGCAGGCAGGTCTGCTGGACAAGGGCTCTCGGCGTGGTCTGCATCTCCCAAGAATGCTGCAGCAGGAGGGTGACCGTTGTGGGGGCCCAGGCAGGGGTGAGTGGGGAGCGGCGAGGTGCAGAGGCCGGGCCGAGCAGCGTGGATGTTGTCAGTGCAGGGCCCTGTGGGGAGAGGGCTGAGCTCTAGTGATGCTCCGGGCATGTCTGTCCTGCGCCTGGGGCCCAGGTGGGGTGTCTTCTTGCCCAGGACTCTGGGCTCAGCGCTGAGGCCCAGTGGGGACCATGGTGCAGTAGGGCTCTGGCCTCTGCGGGCAGTGATGTCTGGCATCTGCTCTGCTCAGCTCAGGGCTGTGCTGTGGGGCACAGCACCACAGGCCTTTGAGGTGTAGGCAGCACTTCCTGCACCCCCCGAATTCCCTGTGTCTCAGTTGTCCTGCCCTTGCCCAAACCATTAAGGCCTGAGGGACGTGTTGACTCTGCCCCCTGCTCCGCGGAGGTGTGCGGGGCTTGGACCCAGCCGTCCCTGTCGAGCACTTCACTCTGTGACCCTGGTCTGCAGACCATTCTGGAGGGCCAGGGGGCCCTGTGGCCATCACTTGGGGACAAGGACAGGGACTGAGAGCTGGCACGTGCAGGTTCTTTCCCAGAAAGATCCTCGTGGCCTGTGCACCAGACCCAGCTGAGGGCGTCCACAGCACGGTCAGGCTGGGGCGTCCGTGGTGCTGCCCCCACCCACGGGGCATCGGGCCACTCACAGCCACATCCAGGTTTGGCGGCAGGGCCGAGGCAGCCTGGCCTGGCTGCTGCAGGGTCCCCGTCTTCTCTCGCTTCCGCCACTTGGCACGCTGATTCTGGAACCAGATCTGTGGTTGGGCAGAGAGGGAGGGGAGGATGAGAGTGGCTTTCTCCCCCGACGCCTCGCCTGCGCAGCCCAGTGATGCACCGGACAGGCCAGGCGGGGGAGCCGGGGGTGGGGTCACAGCCTTCAGGCCCCAGGTGGGGTGGGACCCTGTGGAGTGACCCTGGGGTAGCAGCAACTCTCAGCGTCACCGGCCACTGCTGCTACCAGTAAAACTGAGCCCTGTTTTGGGCTTGGGTGATTTTCAGTGTGGAAAATTTGACTTTTATGTGAAGGCTTCCAAGAATCGGAGTCCAGAGTGGACCAAGTCAGCTCATCTGTAGTTGTTTTCTCCAGCAGCCACTGTTGGCAGCTTTGGTGACCGCTTGGCCCTCACAGCTGACCTCAGGCAGCTCGCTCCCCGCATTCTCGGGCTCCCCAGGCCCCTGGCGCAGGCTGCTTGGGCTCAATGATTCTGGTTTATGGCACACACCAGGTCTGGGTCTCAGCTGGCACCTGATTGCATGGGGGAAGAGGAAGGGAGAGGCCAAGACTGGGGATCCTCTGCCAGTGGAGAGACCAGGGAGGACCATGTTGGCTGGGGCCCTGGTTTAGAGTTTGCAATTTATTTAAAAAAGATGGAGAGTGGTGCCAAGCACAAGCAGGACCATGCTGGGGCTGGCAGGATTTTCACGCTAGCCTGACACATGCAAATCTGAGGGTGCATAGGGAGGGCAGGGTGCACTGCCAGGTGGTGACCCAGGGCTCTGCATCCCGGCCATGGATGCCTGGGCTGAGGAGGATTAGACAGACGGTCCGGCTGCTGGCAGGAGCCAGGCTTGGCCGTGGGCTGCACCACTCAACGGGCACATGTCCAGATGGGGTTTGGCCGCCGGCACCTGCAGGCTGGCCTGGCCTCGAGTAGGGGGCAGTGTGAGAGAAGAGTGGTTTCCATGGTTTTAAGTGGTTGGGAACAAAATCAAAGTAAGAACAATGCTTCACAACATATTCAAGCTATACAAAGTCCAAGTCTCAGTGTTCCTGAATAGTCTGCTTGGACACCCGTGGTCCTCTGCCTTCTGTCATCTCTGCAGGTTTGGCTGGTGGTGCTCACATTGGCCCTTGTCCACCAAGCCCCACATCAGTGCCACCCAGCCCTGAACAGGACAAGCTGATCCTGGTGGGGACTGTCAGGACCTACAAGAGGTGATCAAAAACTACAGGGGTTTAGACTAAAAAATCATCATTATTATTATTACTATTTTAGTATTTTAGGGAAGGGTCTGCAAAGTGTTCAGGGTCTCACTAGTAGTTCGGCTTCATAATGATCCATCCGTGTACAGCCTCCCAAGAGCTGGGATTATAGGCATGCGTCACCACGTCCAGTCTCAATTGCCTTCTCAGCACACCATGGGGGTGGGGCCGGCATGGCAGGCTCAGGGATTGAACCCCTGGCCCCTGTGCCTGCTTGCAGGTACTTTAATCTGCTGGGCTATTTGGCCAGCCCTGATTAAAAAACTATTACAGTAAAAGACATCGCCAGTGACCTCCCTTAGAAAGCACCCCTTGCTTCAAACTCACTTATCCCATGATCCTCTGGGCAAGTGCCTCTGTCATTACCCCAGCGTCTTTATGAGGGGTGATAAAGAATGTGGTGGACGCGCTGCTAATGCCATCCACAGGCCGGCCGCCCATGAGGCCGTGGTGCTGTGTCCTTGCCCGCCTCACTCCCCAGGTCTGGCACTTCATGCTTTTGGCTTTCCCAAAGTCCAAGTGACCACAAAAGGTGAATATTTTGAATGGATTCAGGACTGCATGGGAGCCAGGACAGTGCAACAAAAGACCCGCAGAAAGAGGACCCCAGAGCTGCTGTAGACAGCAGCGCGAACAGTGGGATGTGTGTTAAAATCAAGGGGGAGAATTTGAGAGGGATCAGTGGTAATGTGTCTTACTGTAATAAACATTTTATTTGTTTGTTATTTTTAAGTGTTTGCTCTTTGTAGGTTATCACACACCATCTGGTTTGATCACAGCTTGTATCTTGAGGGGAGGTTATAAGCCTTAGGGAGCAGGGCTCGGACACAGCTGGGTGGACTTAGATACCCAGTGCCCGCCTGCTCATGTCCACCTAGGAGGGACATGGCTTACAGTGTTGGTGACCTCCCTCCCGGGGAAGTGACCCTTGGCCAAGGTGGCCATGACAGAAGACAGAGCCAGGGAGCCTTTTCTGGGGCAGCCTGGCTGGGGAGCAGGATCTGTGGCCCAGCCTCCCGGCGTGCAAGGGTGACTGTACCTGCACCCGGGCCTCTGGCAGGTTGATCCTGGCAGCCAGCTGGCTGCGGGTGTGGATGTCAGGGTAGTGGGTGAGGTGGAAGATCTTCTCTAGCTCCTGCAGCTGCTCCGGAGTGAAGGTGGTGCGGGCCCTGCGCCGGGCTCTCCTCTCTGCTGTGCGGAAAGGCCCAGGGGTCAGGCCAGTCCAGGGCCACCCTCCTGCCCCTGCCCAGCCTCAGCCTGGCCTTGCACATGGGTTGGGAGCTGTGTCCCTCCCCAGTATCTCAATGGGCAGAGGCCAGTCCATGTTCTGGAAAGTCCAGTCTGGTGTGTTGTGCTGTCGGAGGCCTCACCATGCCCATCTGCAGCAGGGGACTCAGCCTCCTGCAGGCTGCGTCTGCCCCATCTGCTACTGAATAAAGTTTTGTTAGAACACAGCTCCAGGGCCGTGTTCTGTCTCCGCTGCTTTTGCACAGTAATAGCCATGCTGTCATCCTGTTCCTTACAGAGAAAAACATGACAGACCAGCTCTGCAACAGGTCTCAGGGTCTCGGGTCGCTGTGACCCTCCTCGGGAACAGGGAAGCCTGTGGAAGGCTGCTTGTCGCAGTGAAGGGCAGAACACTGATTGCCTGGCGCTCTGAGCAGGACCACATCTGCAGGGGACAGCTGTCCACGCAGAGGACCTCTGGCCCTGGTTAGCTTGTTCTTTGGCTACCCACCCCATAGTTGCCGTTCCAGGGAACGCATACTCCCCTCCCCTCCCCCCACACTTCTTGCTTGCTGATAAAAGCAGTGCTGTGAGATTGCTGTGCCCATCCACGACAGGCACGTTCCTCCCTGCCCCCTAGTACTGGAAGCGTTGTCCTTTTTTTAAAATAACTCTCCACTGTTATCCCCTGCAGGCACTGGGGGCCTGATTAGCCCCTGCACCTTGGCCCGAGTGGGGGCTTTGCTGCCCATGGGACCTGTCTAGCCATCTCCTGTCCCCACCTGCTGTCTGCTATCCCTGTCATCCTGTTTCTCTTGTGGGCCTCACTTCAAAGTGGGACTCTTTGCTCCAAAAGAAGCCGGGAACCTTCCCTCTCACCACTGTCTTGTGACTGCTCAGGGAGGGTTTGCAGCATGCCCTTAGCTGTATGTTTTCCCCAAGTACAGGGTGGACTGCCCTGAGGCTGGGGGTTGTACCCAGGGAGGGACCTGGTTTCAGCCTAAGTCATAGCCCCTGCCCACTACCCTCCTGCCCGTGCTGCAATGAGGACGCAGACTCCAGGCAGGACTGGAAGGTCAGAGTGGGCTGCAAGCATGTCAAGGGCAGCGGGGTAGGGAGAGGCAGTGACTGGTTGAGGCTCCGAGCTCTGAAGCCTGACATGTGTGGCATGGCCTCTGGACTTGCTTACAGAGCAGGTTCAGGCCTAAGGTGTCCCCTGACGCTAGGGCATCTGATCCCACCACGGGCCTCTTCCGGGCCACAGCACGGCCTCCTCTGGCCTCCAGCCTGCAGGCCTGGCCTGCTCACCCAGGCACACTGCCAGTGCCACACCCTGGCTCTTCTCTGACAACCCATGTGTCTGGGGCTTGGCTCTCAACTACAGTCCCAGCTCCTACACCTGCTTTGACTCTTGAATGCATTCTCATGACTCCAGCAGTCCCTCCTGGCCTGCCCAGCCTGTGGGGTATGTGCACGTGTATAGAGTGGTCAGGCCACCCCTGCCCGTGCAGCTTTGCTCTGGGCCAGTGCCCTCCTGGTGGAAACTCGTTTCCCTACTCGCCACTGTTATGGAAAATGAAGTACGCAGCCAGGACTTGACTGGCCTGCCAGAATCCATCCCCAAAGTCCTCCTGTGGTGGAACTGGGCAAGAGACAAAGCCCCAGCGGCAGCAGAACGTCAGCCTTGGTCAGCCAGCCACCCCTCCTGTCACACTGCCAGGGCTGTGGGCAGCAGGTGTGGGGCAGACTTGGGGCACGTCTGGGAGTGCAGCTGCAGGCATGCTGTGGACTAAGTCCTGGCCTGGAGGTGCAGGAACAGCTGGCCAGTTCCGTTCTAGCAGGAGCATGTGTGTAAGCAAGCACGTGTCTGCGTGCAGGGACACAGGGTTGGTCTGGACACGCCAGGCCTGTGGGCACTCAGAGGCATCTGTGAGGCGGGCGGTTGCATTTCAAGGCTTATTGCTCATGAGTGAAGCTCAAGGAGGGCATCATCAGTGTATGCTGGCCCTCGAGTCCTGGGAACGATGGGCCCCTCAGGCAGGGAATGCAGGTGGGCTGCAGTGGGGAGCCCTCCTGAGGGCTGGGAAGGGGAGGTGCCCTGTAGGAGGGAGGGGGAGGGTGTGGAGCACGAGTGCCAGAGGACACCCACTTTCAACAAGATGCAGCCCGACGCAGTGTAGTGGGGGAGGGGAGGGAGTGTCTTACAGAGGGACCATGCCTAGGAGAGAGGAGACCACCCCCTGGGGAGACTGAGTCAGGAGGACTGTAAGTTCAAGCCCAGTCTGAGCAACTCAGAGACTCAGTGAGGCCGTCTCAAAATAAAACAAGGCAAGGGATGTGCCTTGTGCAAAGATCCTGGGCTCCTTCCCAGAACTGAGGAAGAAAAGAGTTGTCCTTCACACCTGTGCTCTTATTTTCAGAACAAAGAATCAGATGTTGGGGCTGGAGCTCTGGTTGGGGCCAGAAAGGATGGTGCAGGCTGGAGGACAGGTGGTGGGCCTGGTTCCCTGACTGCGGGCCTTGGAAAATGGGGTTGCAGCTCCCATTTCCTTGGGGCACAGTCCCTAAATCTCCTCACTCATGGGCAACTCCTGACTTTTTTCCTTCCTGTGACCAAACAGCTCTCCTAGGACAGCTGGGGTCCAGGCACATCCCAGGCCTGGGCTGGCGCCCATGTACACACACTCAGGCTGCAGCCGCCTGTCAGCCTCTCTCTACTGTGTGCAGGGCGAGTGCATACAGCCAGGGGCTGGGACCCAGGGGAGCTTTATACAGTTGGTGATGATGGTGATGGTGGTGGTGGTGGTGGTGGTGATGGTGGTGGTGGTG